CGGTGAGGTCAGGAGCCACTCAAAGACCACGTGGTATAGGCTTGTGAGCCAGGGAAGGGGGCTGGGATTTTTCTCTGAGTGCAAAGAAAATTACGTCACAGATACTTGATTTATATTGTTCTCAAATGTCCCTGTCTATTGTGTGAACAGACACATTCCTGGTTACAGAGAAGCAAAGATGTAAGGAGAGATGCCAATTAGGAGGCCATTGCAATGGCTTAGAAGAGAAGGCAGCCGTGCGGATGAGAAGTGTCCAGATTTGGAATATGTTTGGGAGATGTGTTGACAGGGCTTGCTGACTGATCAGAAGTGGGGGGAAGGGAAAGAGAGAAATAAAGGATAATGAGAATCTTTGGCCTGAGCACCTGGGTAGATGGGGAGGTCTGAGGGGGCCAGGTTGGGTCAGTAGAGGACCAAGAGCTTTGCTTTAGCCAAGCTAAGCTTTAGATGCTGATTGGACCACAGCGTGAAGATGCCAGGCTAGCATCTGGCTACAAAAGTCAGGGTTCTTAAGAAATCCACCTTTGGGAATCATCTACAGATACGTGGACCTGCTTGAGGTCACCCAGGAAGATGGGGCAGGAAGAGCAGGGGCCCTGGATAACCCCGAGGTTCACCAGCATTTTGAGGACCCACGCCAGCATATGTGATCGAATGAATGTGGTCACAGTTGGCAGCACACCTGCAAGGTAAGTACTATTGCCCATCTCCACTCTAAACAGGGAGAGAGGTCCCAGGGTTTACAGGTAGCACTGCTAGAATCAAGCCCAACTGCTATGAACTGGGTTCCCGCCATTTGCTGAGCGCTGTGTCGTCACACAGGGGCTACTGACCTGGGCAGAAAGTCCCAGGGGAACGAGATAGGCGTTGACGTCAGAGGTTCCTGATGTGAATCCTCTCTAAGGTGTGTGATACTGCGTGAGGACTGCGACTCATCAAGCCTGAGTTTCCTAGTGTGTAAAGTCACGTGGTGTGTTTTCATCTTGCAAATACCTATTAAGTGTCTATTATGTGCTGGGCAGTGCTGTAAGTGACAGAGACACAATGGGGAGCAGGCACGCTTCTCTGCTTCGCAGTCTGGTAGAGGATACAGATGTGTAAACAGGCAATTACAAGAGTGTGATAAGTACTGATTACCGAGCCACCGCTTCCCACTTGATAGAGTAAGTTTTGCCAACCTACGCAGTCTTACAAGTTGCACAGAATTTCCTTTCTTCCAAATCCATACGCAGTAAGGGTCCCAGGTGAGATGTTTCTAGTCTTTATAATTTCCATTATAATATGCCACGCATGCAAAGCCCCTAGCACATAGCCAGTAGATGGTGGCAGTCGTCATGACGACCTGGGTCTTTCAACCTAGCACCACCTGTAACGTTGAGGCCTACTTTTCCTTCCTGTAAATTAGGAAGTATAACAGCTAGTTCACAGGGTCATTGAAAGGGCCAGGTGAGGAAGTACATATGAAAACATTTTACAAGCTGAACGGAATTATGTTAAAATACCAATAACACATGGTTTCATGCCCACTTGCTAAAACTAAAAACTTAGCACACAAGGGATACTTCCTGCTAGCCGAGAGGTCTGTAACCCGCACACGGGGCCAGAGGAAATCTATTAAAAAGGTTCTTTGGTCCGGCCAGTGTGGCTCAGCAGTTGAGCTTCGACCTATGAAGCAGGAGGTCACCGGTTCGATTCCCAGTCAAGGCACATGCCCGGGTTGTGGGCTTGATCCCCAGTAGGGGGCATGCAGGAAGCAGCCCATCAATGATTCTCTCTCATCATTCTATCTCTCTCTCCCTCCCCCTTCCTCTCTGAAATCAATAAAAAAAACTTACTGGGTTGTTGTTGGGCTTTTGAAGGTTCTTTGGGAAATCCCAGCCTGCACAAGGAAGCCTGCTTTGCCTGAGTTACCTCCAGTAAAAAACACCCTTCCCGTGAGGCTCCTCCTCCCCTCTCACCTCCTCCCACTACCAGCTTTGCTCCCCCCTGCCCCCCTGCCCAAGGCACCAAATGCTGGAAACCTCCCAGGCTGGGTCCTCGTCTGCTTTGTGCATCACCAGAGTCCCGAGTCGGTGCTAGGGAGGCAGGATTTGTAAAGCTGCCGGGTGTGCCGTGGGCTGTCAGCTGTGTGGGCGGTGAGTGGGCCCTGGGGTTGGGGGGGCAGAGACACTGACAGAGAATCCTTCCTGATTTCCTACTGTGACTGCCCCGTCCCCGTGCAGAGGATCCGTCTATAGAACAAAAGTCAGAGAAGCCAGAGGCAGGAGACAGAAGAGAGAAGGCTCCGTGGTATGCAGTAGGCACAGGGTCCTGAGCAGCGCTGAAGGGGCAGAGGACAGACGCCCCACGCCCCCTGCTGACTGTTCAGGTGAAGGCCCAGGACACTCAGCTGCCTCTTTCCCTGGAAGCCAGCTGGCTGGAGCAGGTCTCAACCCGCCTCGGTGCACTTATTTCCTCGTTCTTAAAACAAGTGTTTATTGTGAGCCAACTACATACGAGGCATTGTTCTGTATGCTGCTTTCAAGAAGCTTACACTTCAGCCCTGGCCCGGCCACCTCGCATTTTCTTTTCACCCCACTGCACTGGCCCTGGCCCGTCACCCTCTGACACTGCTCCCATGGTCGCCTCCGTGTTGCCAGACCAGCCTTCCTTCCCCATCCTCATGATATCTTCCCTCTCAGCAGCATCCCACATGCATGGCTGTGATGAGCATGCTCCTCTTTCACGTCTTTGTCCCTGTCCTCTCGGGCTTTCCTCTGACCTCCCGGCCACTCCTTCCTAACCTCTACATGGCTCCTTCACCAGGGCCACTGGTTTCCATGGTTACACTGAGGAAGGTTGATCTGGTCATTGGTCTGTCTGCCCTGCTCCAGCTTCTCATGGACTTACCCAGGTGAAAACACAGTTTCCCAACCATCCCCATCACCACCCCATGTAGGCAGCTGCTGTTAGACTACATATCCTTCAACTAGCAAACGTTTAACTTAGAGAAAGGCGTCAGAGCTATTCACATAGTGCCAGTGGTGGTGAAGCTAGTTTTTCAGGGAGGACTGTAGGCATTCTCGAGTTAGGCCATATGACACATGGAGTGACAGGAAGAATGTGCAAGACAGTCTCTGGCCTCGAGTTGTCTTCCTGAGAGTCCTTGACAAGACGTAGGTGTATACAAATATAGTGCTTCTGAATATAAAGAAATCCCAACCGTCAGAGCTGCATGGGATTCAAATGATCATCCACGTCCTCCTATTCGTTTTCAAAGCCACGATGAGGTGACTTACTCGAGGTCACACCACTGAATGGCCCTGGGAATGAGAACCCCAGCCAGTGCTCTTGCCATGGCATCTCAATGGGTGGTTGAGACAAGAAGTTAAGGGCTATGGGAACTGGAATAAAAGGCCCTACGTCATTGTGGTTAAAAGCATGGATTCTAGAACCAGACTGCCAGGGTTCAAATCATGAATCAATGACAAATCACAGCAACAATGCAGCAAGTCCTGGAGTGACCTGGGAAAGTCACTGAACTCCTCTGTGCCTCACTGTTTAAATGTGGACCATCGTTATACTACCTCACAGGAATGGTGAGGATTAACATCTATATATATAAAAGCCAAGCGACCGGAATGACCAGAATGACCCACCGTTAGGATGTGCACTGTGGCAGCCAACCAATTCGATCGGGGCCCTGATTGGCACCTCCCAACCTCCTGTGGCCCCTTCCCCAGGCCAGCTCCACCCCCAATTGGCCACCCCACACCCCAATCGGCCCCCCAACCCTGATGAGGGCGGGGCCAGCAGGCCAACTGCCTGCAGCCCCTCCCCCCAGCCAGCCCGGCCTGATTGTTCCCCATTAGGGCAGGCTGGCTGGATCCCACCCATGTATGAATTTGTGCACCGGGCCTCTAGTGAGTTAATAATATAGGTAAGGGGCTTAGAATGCTGTTGGCACTTAGAGAGAGCTGGTAAGGTTTTATAGACTAACGGCTCTGGGAAATGAACAACAGGAAAGAAGGTTTGTTGAGATCTGTGTGGGTGCCCAGTGACTCTCTGAATCCCAGGATTCGGGCACGCATCCGGGCTCAGTGAATGAACGAATGAACTAACACACAGCACAGACTAATACCCACAGGGAAAGACCACCAGAGGCCAGCTCGTTGCCTCCTGTCCACTGGAACCATGTAGGTGGGTTCCAGCATGACCACCATGATCAAAAAGCACCTGTTGCTAGTTTCTTTGCCCTTGATGGCATCTCACAGCTCAACAATCTAAGGCAGGAGGCGAAAAACACATACAGACCACAGGACACGCAAACACGCAGAATAAACACTGGCACCCAAAGGACAAAACAAAGCCCTGAGGTGTGGGATAAACCTGGGGAGGCTGGGAATTAAAGGAAATATTATCTCCCTTCAATGTACGACTCCTGGGAATAAAAGCCCAAGTTCTCAACAGGCACAAATTAGGTGAAAGGCGGCCAAAGACAGAACATAGATCCTTTTGCTCTGTACAAAAAGATCAGAGGTAAAGTTACAGGCGTGGATCTTGGTCAATCTTTTCCATCCACTGAAGACTGGCCCCAAAATGTAATCCTTCACCCAAGGATGACATCAAAAACAGCAGGGTCAGCAGCAGCTCCAGAGGAAAGACGAGATAGATGACTCTCATTTTGGTGGCTTCTCCGAGGTTTACAGAGCTCCTCTTTTCAGGGAAGTCAGTGTGAAACAGACCCCCGTCCTTTCTCCATGGCTCTTAGTAAACTAGGTGTGTTTTGGGGAACAAGCTTGATTCACCCCATCTGACAGGCGTTGACCTACAGCTGGTTAGTGACATGGGGGCTGCCCGCAGGGGCCTCTTTAGAGACACACGCATCTGTCTCGCTGGGCCCTTTTCCAAGGGAACCCCCCCGACCTGATCCCAGGCAGGGCCTTGCCCACTGCCGCTCCTCCCTGGCTGCCCAGCTGGGCCGCTCCCCAACCCGACCCCCGCGCCCCCAGAGTACTCACTCCCACTCCTTGCGCCGGGCCTGCGGGGTGCTCTGCATCTTGTGCGCCTCGTGGGCCTTGATGATGTCGCGCTGCTCGATGAGGCCCCCACGCCTCCGCTTTATCACGTCCGGGCTCACGGGGAGGAAGGGGCTGGAGCCGCCCTCCCAGCCTGGGCCCTCGCCCTCCTGCACCGGGAAGAAGTTGTCGAAGCCGGAGGCGGCGGTGTGCGGGGAGGCCGGCAGTATGCCCACTTCCTCCGAGGCGTCGGCCTCGAGCAGG